CTTATTTTCTATTTTCAGAACTTTTCCCTACAGAACGTCACGGACGACTGTTTACAACCTAGTCGGAAAAGATCACATTGCTACAGATATTGTGTCAAGTGTAAAAGTGGATCAGAATTTACATAGAGAAAGAAATGGCCTGTTTCAGTTTAAAAGTATACATACACTGTAAGTTATCTTAATTTTCTATTTGAGCCTTTAGAGAAATCAATCTTTGGGTTTTTCATTCATGAAATTCAATTGTTCAAATTTCAGGGATCATTACTTTGATATTGAAGAAAGAAGACGTTTAAGGGGGATGTACGGCCACCTTTAGTGCAGTGAGAACAAAATGTAAACATTTCTTCAAATGGCTAAAATACATTATATTTTGATCAAATTTTAAGTCCTTATGATAAAGATACAATAAATATGCATAACTAAATGCATGTTGTGCATATATAATCTATACTTTTGCAGAAAAATGCTTTTGATATGCTCCTTAGAACTGCGCAGCTGCAGAATTCAGCAAAGCCTTAAAAAATCCAAAAAAATACGCAAACTCTGCATTAATGTTCTGTCTACAACCATTTGTTGAGAAAATGTCTAAATTTTGCACTTTTAAATGATAATTTCAAGTTCAAAACAAGGTATCGTTGTCTTCAAAAAGAGTGTAAAGAACCATGAAAGTAGTTCATGGATAGCAGCACGTGGTCTATTTTTAGCACAGAATTTTGTTTTCCAGACCTCTTCTTTATATGAAGGGACATAACGATCTTTAAATGTAGAATAGAATTACAGTTGTAAAATATTTCAAATAGTATGAACACTTTTAAAAGAGGAAATGTGTTATAGTGTGGCTTGAAGTAATTTATTTAGTATTATTATCGAACAGTTGTCAAATAGTGTACGTATTGATATAACAGAAAAAATCTTAAACTCTTTGATTCATGGTAAGGAAAAATGAGTACCAACAAAGTTAAGAATTAAGAGTTTGTAAGTTTGCCACAGATAACATAATATCTATCAAAATTTTGATTATCACCAATGAAACACAAAGAAATTAAACACATAAAATCGATATGAATGACCTTGTTTTAGTACCTACTAATACGAGGGGTTATGAAAAAGTTCGCGAATTATATCTACAAAACCACAATTTAGATTAGAAACAAATTTGGTGCACACATAGCCGACAAATGGTTGTCTCAGTGGAACTCGTTCAACAAACGACTAAAATATTTATTGTATATCTTACACATCATGCCTTTGAAGTAGCGTATAAGAATTTGTTCACAGTTTATTAAGACAAATGACTTCCTCTAAATTCAATCAATGATCGGATAGATCGTTTTAGTGAAGGAAGGCAGATGGATAAATATGATATTGTTATGTTGCCCGGTGAAAGCAAGTTTGAAAAGGGATGTGTTTTTAATTAAGCAATATGCTATCAAAGACCTCCAATTTACACTTTGAAAAATACTTGAATATTTCAACAATAATATAAATATCAAATACCTAAGATATCGTTTACTTTTTGATCACCTCTCGTATACTCTGTCAAATAAACATTTACAATTTTCATTACAGCGGAGCAACATTTGAAAAGGAATGAAATAATTCAGAGTGGGTTAGGAGATTTAATGAATAAAAAAAACTTTCTTCTATTTGCCCTTTGTCAAAATTACAATTTTACAGAGTAAAGAAAAAAAATCAACATAATTAAATATTTTATACCATCTTTAAAATGACGTTTGGTGGTCCTCCCAACTCAGGGAAAAATTATTGGGTCCGTATTTATAGGTGAGAAAAAAAAATTCCTAAATATTTAAGAGTTAAAATCAGCAAGCATCGAGCATTGAATGGAAAGTCAAAATTTTATTTTTTCAAAAGCTTTTGGTATATAAAAGATTTTGTCCTACCTAATGCTAAAACACAATTAAAATTTTTTTTGAACGTATGAAGGGACTGGTATCCAAGGAAATTCATTTCCTTAGCAACGGGTTCATAAATCCTTATGAAAATCAATGATTTTTAGACATTTTTCTATGAATATTTTTTCTGAACGTGATAAGATAAGGTATTTTGGTTACTTTATTTGTTAAAAGAAGGAATTACTTTATTCTCTCAAAATAGGAAAAACAAAATTTCTGTGGTGATATTGTTGCCATGACAACGAGAAAAGAACATGGCGTCAATGCTTATTAATTTTGAAAAAGTTACATATGTTTATCACTATATACACAAAATCTACAACCACTGCTGGAAAAATGAATGGTGTTATCTTGTTAGGGGTTATCCATATGTCATATCTATACAATAAAATTTGCAGGCAACTTTAGTAGAAAAAAGTTACAAATGGTTGAAATGTGTGATAATTTGGCATTTATAAGCTTTTTTGAAGGGGTGGGGGTAATTTGATTACATGTACAGTGTCCATTATATTGGTCATATTGGTTCTGATCAAAACATACTCATAATTTTACTATTGTTGATAAATAAATGCACATTCAATTTCAAAAGGAATTTTATATTCCTCACAAACGAAACTTGGAAAGGGGGGGAGTAGGAATCACCTTGTCCACCGATCCATATGTATGTAAAATTTTGACTTGTCCATAACATTTCAATGAAGTGCCACTGAAAGTTCATACTTGATATTAAGATTGCTTGTGATGAGAGAGATGTGTCAAAAACTTGACTCAAGGTCATTTGAACAAGTTCAAGGTCATTGGTAGAAGAAAAGTGCAATCTTTGCCCATTCTGTAACATTCTAATGAAAAGACGAAGTTTCATCTTGGATATAATTTTCGAGCGGTAGGTTTGTCATGACCTTGACCAAAGTTCATTTAGACATGTTTGACCTTGACTCAAGGACATAGCTTTTTCAAGGTAAAGGTAAAAGTGTACTATATGAGTTTGGCACATTTACATATTTAACTTTGAATGAAGAGAAATTGGAAGTTTATGCTCAACACAACAGTTTTACTACCTATGACTTGAGTATACATGTATGTCATAGTCATTTTTGGTATGTATATCTGCACTAGCAAAATTTTAAAAAGGTTTTAAATTAATATTTGGACCTTTTTTAAAATAAAAAAACATTTAATGCAAAAGCACTATTTTATGAGCTTGCTCACAATAATTATTGTTTATGAAAGAGAGTCACTATGACAGCTCACATAATTTTAAAGTAAAACCATATCAATCAGGCATGTAGCATCAGGTTTGGGTTAGGTAGGGGGGATGACATCCCCACCCAATTTTTTTCTCAACATAACCTGATGTTTACAACCCCCCCCCCCCAGTTTGGAGAATTTCCCCACTTTTTTCTTGCAGTTTTTTGTATGCCTACCCCACACCATGCACTTTCAAAAACGGTACCGTGTCTGTCAAGAACGAATGACTGCAACCTTTGGTATTGAACCAATGATATATTCTCCTGCTGTCCTAATTAAGAAACAATATTGCAAGACAGCTAAGACCTCAGTAGCTACTGGTGCCTAAAATAAAAATCTTGAAGGGCTATATATGTATATATATGAATGTCTATACTTGAACTGACCCTAAAAGATATTCATTAATAACCCTAATGGGCAATCCTTTGAATGGCATATATCAAAATTTTTGTTGTACATATGTACTTATATTTAAAAACATTTTGAAAACAATGTAGAAATCGGAAAAGAATGACAAATATGAATATTTTACATATACATGTACATATATATAATACCTAGAGATACAAAACATAAATTTGAGGAACGTGTCGTCTGACTTTAAACTAGTTAATCCTCATCATTTTTATTTCACTCACACCAACATCAGTGGTACATAAGGTACAATATATAAATTAGCCCTCTTTCTTTTTTCTCACAAAAACATTTTGTCAGTTTTAAGATTGATTGATCATTTAATATTGACTTTGTTTTAACTATGATACTTCAAAATGCAGAATTTAAATATGTTTCAGATTCTTCGACTATCTAATAATTATGAATCTGCATGCTAAAAATTGATAGGTATTAGATTTATATCAATAAAAAAATGCTAACAGAAAAACAAACAATGTTACTTTTGGATTGAACATATTTATTTGATCCACTTTCGTGAATACACTGTACAATTTATGGATCTATTTTCTCGATCCCTGAGTCTCCGGTAACACTATCCACTCACCTCCAGCATCAATGGTCTGTACTGTAATGATGTATTCCCATAATCTGAAAAAAGTGATAAAATTAAAATGTAGAATGACTCTTCATAACATTGCGATCTGGCCCCTTTTTGAACACGGATTTATGCCTTTTCAAATCAGAACATTGACATATTTTAGCTAAAATGTACAGGTATGGTATGAATACAAACACTTCAAAATCTTTTTTGATAGAGAGACTTTCAATTTATACATAATATCAATGAAATAAAATTGCATACATCAGTGCCAAATCTCAACTTCGCCATTGCGGCTATGTAGGTCATTGTATTATTTGAATAAGGAGGCGGAGCGTCAATCAAGCGTGCGAATAGCGTGAATATATTATCGAGTGTTCGACGTGTACTTAATATACATGTAGTTTTTTAAGTGATATCTTATTAAATAACTAAACAATCTTAAAACCCCCTCACCTTTTTTTCGGGCTTGGGACCGACAAGATGTAATAATTTTGGCAGGTTTAGGTTTTGTTTTTACTGCTTAGCTTTTAAACGAGTATATCAATGAAATAATTATTTTTGAAATTCGTTGAAATAAAATGTAAACACAATGATATGGTTTCTGTAAACATAATGTCTTACAAAAGATGGTGTTTTAGGACTAGGTAAGTATTTTTAAGATAACCTAGCTTATTTCTTAATGGATAATTATTTTAATTCTAAAGCGATAATAATTTCATTAAGTTTTTTTACATGTAGAATTGATTATCAATAGCATATAATTTTGCAAAAAATCTGAGTGTTCCAACAAATATATGTATGCGGTTGAATTTTGATAGAAAGCCAGGATAATCATGTAAGAATTAAATCTCTGAATCATCATCACTGCTAGATGATGAAATGTCGGTATCTGTGTCTTTTGCACAGTCCAGAACGCTGTCGGGCATAATCTGACTCTGAAGCTCTGTGTCTGCGTGTCTCTGCACTCCTATGTACCAGAGTACCGACGCAACATGCGCACAGCTGCCCACTAACCGTGCTCCAGACTTACACTGACAGTACCAGTATTTGATGGGATCTTCCTCGTCTGATGCATCAAATTGTATCCATAAATAGTACGATTTTGACGAGACATGGCGTGATTGTATTTTTGCTTGAAGAATATTTGACATAGTTTTAGTAACGAATATTTCGTATCCCCCCTCCTCATCCAAATGTTCGCGAGAATATGAAGACGCTTGCTTTATTTGATATATTCCGAATGTTAATGATCTTAAGTAGTTTTCTGACAATTTGGGAAAGTCGGGAACAGCATCAGCGGCATCAATTTTTGACATTTTATTTGATAAAATACGTTTTCCAGAAGAATTTATGAATAAGTCTTTTAAAGGATTTGTAGTAATTTTGGATTTTTCAAGCATTTTACGGGATATTTCAAGATGATCGTCCGAGTCACTCGCGAGAGATGGCCTAAATGCATTAATTAATGAACCAACAATACGGACATAATCACCAATAAATGGGATTTGAGTATTTGTCACGACGTTTGCCAAAAACTTCCACCTTTTTAACCTCCCATTTGCAGATTCTACAGCCCATCTTATTTTGGTTACTAATCTCGACGTATTTGCCTCAAATAGTGAATGTTGCTTTTCCCCCTTCCCCAGAAAATATGGTGACTCGGACCTCAAACCTACAGACTCGATTACATCTAAAGAATCTCTAAAACCTCTGTCTAAAACAAAAATGTCATCTTCTTTTAACCAATTTAGTAAAGCGTCATCTTTTAGCAAAGTTTTATTTAAAATATTAGCATCATTGTTTTTGCCATCCGCTAGATATGGACCCAGGATATCAACAATGTAGCCATCAGACGCAACAAACATCATTGGTTTTACAAGGGGTCGACCTTTGTACATACTAAAGGATCTTCTCTGAAAACTATATTTTGCACTTTTCTCAATGTATATGTATGTACCATCAACTAATAATATGGCAGTGTCGTCGTCACCAGATGCAAGAAGTTCGCGGGCAAATATTGTTGTATGTTTTGATATGATTTCATCCCTTGTAATGTGATTTAAGCCCATATATTTCGGAACAAACTGGTCCATCAAAACTGTTCTTGCACGTTTAACAATTTGACAAACGCACTTGCTTTTCTTGATGTTAAATATCGTCTTAAGCACTGTGCTTGAGAGACCTGTTCTAAGTTTCGTTAAAAGAATCCCTATAACCGTTTTCTTTGAATATTTCTTCTGTCTTAATCCATGAATCTGTGAACACAGTGCCTCAAAATCTTGTTTATTAATGCCAGTCAAATTCATATAATCCTCATCATTTAGGGATTCGTTGTCGAAATCTACTCGTGTACTCTCGGATTTTAACAAAAGTTCCCTACACTGAGATAAATAATCACTTAATTCCCCTGAGGACAACTTTTTAGTACCCATTTTCATCCTATGAAAATTCTCATTGATATGTTGATCTTTAATCATGCGTTCATTGGACAAGTGAGAGGGGCATACACGTGCTTTTTCGTGCAATATAACATTGTGTTTAAGAAATACCTGTGCGCAGGCTTTCTTAGAAACAGTTTTCATTGATTTTTTACGGGATCTGCAAATAGCACAATATTTGTGTGTCTTTGTGCCGATGTAAAATGATTTAACGTCAACATTGCCCCCAGAAGTCTGAAGCTTCCCCCTATTCATATCGAGGGTGCATTTTGTGCAGATGTGGTCATCCCCCGTGACCTTTCCTCCCGTAATACGTGCTAATTCAGTCCTCCGTACTTCGTTTATCTTTCCCTTGAGGGTTCTTCGATTAGATTTATTTGTGCGCTTTTTACAAACAACACAGTTTATACTTTTAGGCATGGTGAATACTAGTAAGTGTTTTTCCGATTATAAAACTGTATAATGACGGTTTTAACAGAAAAAAAGACTGTATAACTTTAATATCTTCCAGCAGTTTAAGTGAGAGTTTTCTTGAAACAAACGCACGTGTATAATATACAAACACAGTAAAAAGCGGAATCAACGATACCTAAATAGAATTTTTAATTATGTTTAATAAATATAAGCAGTGATTAAGTAACAGATGTATGCTATAGGCCCCCCGGAGTAGATCGATAGATACTTACCGAAAGAAAAAAACAAAGGGAAATTGGCAAAAATAACGTTCAATAACAGGTAAATAAAACAATTCAACCTAGCATATAGATATATCAAGTATGCACTTTTCCAAATTATTTTCAAATAGAAGGGTTGTCCAAGTATTTTTAGCCGATGGAATAAGATTTGACAATGGATAGCCCGCAGACACTTTAGACACGATGTCGAAATGGTGTGCTCAAAGCGTGAAAGTGAATAGATTTAAATCACGTGTTCAATCCTTTGTTATTCATGAGGTCAAAGACGGGTTGAAATTTGTAAACAAGGTAGCTTTACTATAGACACAAGTACCCGTGATTTTGAGGTTTTTGGGAAAATAACACATGAGCGCACGATTGTTTCAATTTCTTTCATGGATGTAAATGATTAGTATTACTTTTTACGTTGACCATAAAAACGGCAAATTGAAACATCAATGCGCTCATATAAAAAATAAGCTTACAAAATGGGGGTGTGGCCTAAAGTCTATGAGAAATCGATGTAAACAACGTACCCCTGCTATATTAATCAGAAAAATATCTAATTACAGTTTATGAAAGCAAATTTTTAAATTGAAATTAATAAACTACAATGTTTAATGGAAAGATTGGGGCAAAATTATGTAGATTATCTGAAAGTTATTTTTTTGTAAATATTAGGGGGGCCAAATGTGGACGTTTAAACGATTCATTCTTTACCATAACAAAGGTCATTCCATTTTACAAATATTTCATAATCGTGATGGTTTTCATAAATTCATAATTTTTCATGTAAAAAGCATGTATTACATGTATCTTAAATGGTAAATAAAGATATCTATTATTATATACAAAATTTTTATTTACTCGACCATCAATCAAGTTATAATCATTACATGACTGTATATAGCTGGTGAGTGACTTAGGCTACATACATACCGTGAATACAACAAATTAAAATTATAAACTAAATTCAATTTTATAACTTTCAACTTTAATATTCAACTTTATAATTTGGGATACAGTTATGTAACTGATCATTACCAAGTTTTTCACGTTAGTCCCGTAGAAACAATCTAAATTGGGGATTTAATTTTATTATATTATATAGTTTAATATCGGCAATATTATTGGAGGGCATACCCCCTCCTCCTTATAATATGCATAATCTTTTTTTTAGTTATAAAATAAGTAATGCTAACATATATAATCAATCAGAATAAAATTGAAATGTGCAAAAACACTTGCCAAGTGTTACATATTTTACTGCATGGTTGATAAATTTATGCTATACATTCTTCAGTAACTGTTGTAATAGTAAATTGTAAATTGTAAAAAATTCAATCACTCACCGTAATTAAGACTCATGAAAACGCCAAAACTGAGGCTCAGACTGCTCCAAGTTTGTAATTTTCTGCTAGTCTTATGTACATTGTTATTGAAAACAATGTAAGCAAACTACCGTTTACTCCTCCTATGTTAGAGAGCTATACCAAAGGGAGGTAATTTGAAGAAAAGTGACAGAAAATTATGGATTTAAATCAGTTGTCATATATAAATGCTTTAGTTGCCTGCAGATTTTTTTTGCTTGATTCTTCTAGTACAAATACTGTTTAGTAAATATTTTATGTTGATAAGCTTTAATGTGGTTGTAGATTTCTTATCGAGTACTTCGAATTTGCTGTTTTTTAAAGCAAAATAAACCCCAAAAACTAGTTTTATCCATCAAAAGGTGAAGAGAATTTCAATAATCAACAGCTGTTAAAATAGAGTATATTTATATAAATAAAATAATAATTTAAAAAGCTTTTTTTAAATGACTAGTAATAAAAAAGTATTTGGTTAACCATAAATTCAAGAGTCATGATAAAGTACAAAACATGCTTTTTGAAAGGCGCGTGGTTTCCATAGCAACAATGCGAAAAATTATTTTTTGCTTGCTTTTTTCTATCATACCCTTTGTTCTGAAAATTTCTATACGAGTTTTAACCAAATCTGTTTCTATGCCACTTTCCACATTTTTTAACTAAATGCTCGATGCTTGCTGATTTTGACTCTTAAACATATTTGTTGACGGAAGAAAAAAAATCGTGTAATGAGATGTAAGAAAAATTGAGTCGGGCCATTTCTAGGCAATAGATCGGGAGAGAGGGCAACCAAATATTTTTTTTTAACAAATGGTCTTATAAGGCTAGTACATGTTCCATCACATATTTAGTAATGCGAAATTTTTTAATCTTTAGCACTATTTTGAAAAACAAACATAGGGTTTTCGGGGAGGGGGGGGCTCTCATTTTTTTTTTTTGCGATGATAGACATAGCATATGCAATGGACCTTTCTTTGCAAACACTGTGCTTGCTTCTAAATTTCAAAGAAACAACTCAATATATTTTATCAAGCTTCGTATGTTCAATGAGCGAGAGCTTACAACGTTGTCAACATAAGGAGACATGATGCGTTTTTATGTCCAAACATTACTCCATACAATGTGTGGGTCATCGTAAACAATCTAGCTATTTATCTAAGGTGCCTGAAGGAAATCCTATGACTGACTATTTTTTTATCTAACTGCTAAACAAAATAGACATATGTACCAACTTTTCGAATGTAATACATGTAATTATGTTCCCCAAACGAAGGTGGGGAACATATTGTTTTTACTCTGTTTTTAAGGTCTTTCGTCTTCACGGAAGACCTTATAGTGATTCTATTGTTTCTTATTATTATTATTATTTTTTTGACTTTCTAATTTTGTGCACGCGATTTCTCGAAGACTACTGGATGGAATTATATGAAATTTTCAGAAAAGATGTGTCGTAATATGAACTTGATCTATCTGAGCGATTTTTTGAAAATTCCTATCTGGTGCCAAGTTACGGGACATTTCCTGAAATTAAAATGACATTTTGTCCACGATTAAACTCAAAAACGGCAAAAGATATCAACATGAAACTTTCAGGGATTATAGATCGTGATATATACTATCCAGGACGCGACCTTTCGTTCGTCGTCGGTACTTCCGCTCGTTAGGAGAAACGAATCAAAAAAATTGTATTTTCTAACTTTTTTGTTTTTCAATATTTTTTATTTATTTTTGGAATATTAACAGAGACCCTTCTATTGATGCTTACTATATAAGTTGTTTGAATATTGGTTAATCTGAATCCTAGATATTAATATTTGAAAATCTGAGCGGGTCCAAGATGGCGTCTGCCTCTGTCAACTCCGCCATTTCGCGAGTGGGGGTTTATGGAGGCCGCTGAGCGTTTGATTAAACCATTCTGACATAAAGATACATGAAATGTAAAAAACTACTTGGACTTTCACGTAGTAGTACGTTGTTATTACGTGTCAATCTTAAAACTTAATTTCCGTTTCACTGCTTTAGTTTAACTGGGCTAGATACGATATGTAATGTGTACAATGTGTTAAATATACCTTCTTAACGTCGAAATAAAATAAAGGCGATAAGAACGTTTTATTTATTTTATTTTATTGAAGCTATCACACCTATTTAATAGAATATACTCCTGGCGTTTGGCGCGAAATTATCAATAGCGGTCCGCCTTTTATAATTCCTAGACAGGTGTATTGTTGCAAATGTATGCACAAGTATATTTAGAGCAGTGCTCCCAAAAGCTTAATGGTTTGCGCGTTAATAGATCACGTAGTAATTACGTTGCAATTCTGTGTCAAACTAAAGATTTATTCGAGGGTCTTTTCAAACGTCTTCTGTAACTGGTTTTGGTTGGTTCTCAAAGTAGAAAAAGAAAAGACTAAATGTGCAAATGAGAGATACCTATTATCATTTGTTTTGCAAGACGGAAAAACAGATCTTAAATCATAGTTATAAGTTATAGTTTTTCAAGAAACAATATCGATGCATGTATATAGTAAGTATAAAACGTATAACTACTGTTCTTCCCATGCACACTTGTGTGATATTAAACAAATAGAAAAGACAAAAATAAGAAAACCATTTTAATAAGATCGTCTAATGGAGTTTATATTAACATTCTTTTCTCAAAGATCTGAATCAAGTTATTGAACATAAATGGTATCTGATTCCTTGACTGTCGTAGAGCGAGGCATCTTTTTCGGCAAAACATTTCAACCTTTTTATGAAAGTGTAACTAATCGGCATAGTTCACTTCTGAGACGGAAATAAAACAAATAAATTATAGTCATTTCACTGCTTTTGTGTTTCTTTTCTATAGAATGTGTACAATGTGTTAAATATATTTTCTAAACCTCGAAATTAGGCTATGAGAACGTTCTTTTTTCTTAATTTCATTGAAGCTATCACACCTATTTAATAG